CACACACACACACACACACACACACACACACACACACACACACTCAATCAATCAATCAATCAATCAATCAATCAATCAATCAATCAATCAATCAAATCCAATCAATCAATCAATCAATCCAACCTTTTTTTTTTTTCAATTTCTTTTAAAATTTTGCATCTTTATTTTTTTTAAACACCTCATTTCCCTGCAAAAAACAAAAATCCAATTCAAAAAAAAATACAGGTGTACTCAGGGACCATATATCTCGTGATAAAAAATGGCAAAAAAAAATTCTTGCTTTTCTTTATATATATATTTTTTAATTTTGTTTAAATTGATTTTCGTTTTTGATTTTTTCAAAATCTTAATCAAAGTCGGATTCCAAAAAACAAAATATAGGAGTGTAGGGTTTTTCAAGCCCTACACCCCCACATATATATATATATATATTTTTACGTATTTTTATGGGGAGAAAACAAATATTGAAAAACCGGGCCGCAAACCGGCCTCATTGGCCGCGGCCGAGGCCGAGAATCTCGGCCGCAGCGGCCGAAATGCCCGCAGCCTAGGCCGCGGGTGTCACATAGCTGTAGGGAACCGTAGGAGGTGGCCGTACTCCTGGATTAGGGCGTCTGTCATGTCCTCGTTGTTGCGCAAAACACTCGCGAGGCCCATGCCCAAACTGTGGGAGGACTGCCTGTAATATCCGCCAGTTGCCCATCTCATTAGAGCACATGCGAACTTCTGTCCGGCGGGTATTGGCAGTCTGAAGTTCGTGGGCGAGCGTTGGATGTGCGGGCTGATGCGAACGAGAACTTCGAAGAACAACGGTCGTGGGAGTCTGCAAAACCGCACGAATACCTTGTCATGCTTACCCCCCACTCGTTGGAGGTCCTTCCACACACCGCCGCTGCGCTCCAACACCCACAGACGACGTCTGCGGTCCATTGTCCTCCCCATCTCCTCCACAGCCAACGAACCCAATGCAAAACCGTGCAAGATCCCCCCCGCCAGGAGTGTTACCGCAGTGGAGACATTTTGGTGGAGGAAAAGCATCACTGATACTGCCTCCACGACCGCCAACGCTGCCGCATTTCGTTTGTTCACCCACTGGAAGAGGAAGAGAACCAGCATGACCAGTGCATCCTCACTGTGAGGATGCGGCACACCTCCTCGTGACGCATCCATGGCTTCCATCCGGGCACAACATGTGACGCGTCCGGTGAGCCGGTGACACAGCAACCATCTCCGTCAGCTATGGAACCCCACTTTCCGTCGGGGAATGGCGAGTGTCACGGGCAGGTGCGCTGCAATCTCCCCCGAGTGCCAACGCCTGCAGAGAGAACAGGACCGACAACATACCCACAGACCCAACGTCCGTTTTCAATCTCACCTGGGCAGGTGACCGACAACGGCACAGAAAAAATGGTCGTTGCTGCATCCGGAGCCTCCTTGTGTTTGGGACGTCGCACTGGGACTCCGCACTCCGTCGCTCGCTGGCGTGTACGGCATGCGCCGCACCCCCCCCCACAGACAATCCATACGCGAGGCCATGTCCGTTGGTCCATGCAGGCCGTCCGCACTTTCCTTTTCGGGACGGGCCCCTATCGGGTTTCCTATTGCGGCAAGCCAGCCCGCTTCCAAAACACCGCCAGCACTTGGCTGTGTGGTCGCTTCCAAAACTGCCAAAAACTTTCCACGGACGGTAGCCAGCTTTTCGCGGCCACTTTCCTTTTCCAGCCGCCGGCCAGTGGGGTTCGAGCCTGAGTGTAGGCCGTGCGCTCGAGCGGCATCCATTTCGGGACTGATCGATTCAACAGGTGAGTAGAAACACACTCATTAGCGGATTTCGACGTCCGCGACCACCGTCTCGCTGGTTGTATGGGTCGGCACCTCTTCGGGGTGCTTGGGTTAACGCACAGTCTGGCACAGACGGGAGGCAAAGGCAGCGGAGAGACGATGAGCCAAGGCAGCGGTTCCAGGAAAAGGGGAAAGGAAAGGATCCGGGGGAGGGGTTGTACGGGGTGCATATGCAGCAGGGAAGGATGCAGCGACGGGGGAGTGGCTATGGCGGGAGCTGAAAGAGGCACATCCCGCTCGTTTCTTGGTGAAAACAAGCAAGGAAAGTTGGTAGGTGGGGGGTTTTGCATAGGGCGAGTACACTGGTGAGGTTAGTTTCAGTGCTAGATTA